GGGGAGGCAGGCTGGCCTCATTATGTCTGCAGAGACTAAATCTGAGGACAAAAATAAATTTAAAAAAAACCCACCACCACGTACACACACTTCCTGTGAGAGAAACGTGGCTTTCCTAATAAACACCATGCACAAGTGCCACTGTAACAACCAGGGAATGAGGCCTGCACAGTGCTGCAAATACTCCTGCAAATACTTCTCTACAATTCCATGAATCCCCTCTTCTCCAACATTGAGAAAAGAATCTGTGCTTTTTGTTTTGTAAGCAAGTGTTTTCCACATCTGGGTTTCTAATGCTTCCCTAGCATCATCCACGATTCTGCAGTACCACATGAGCCATGGATCAGATGGAAGGCACTGGAGAACACTCATGTGGGCCCTCATTGCTCTGCAAGGATGGGAAGTCATGAAACATCTTTGAAAAGCTGTGTAGCACTGCCTTCCTAAATTAAAAGTATACCTCCTTTTTGACTTAGCAATTACATACCTAGGGATTTACAGATATACTCATACGACAATATGCCTACATCATGGCAGCACTAATTTTAGCAGCAAAAACATCTGCATACTACTTAATGTCCCTTAAATAAATTCCAATACATTCATGTGAAGGAGTGTGACGTGGCTGAGAGCAGCAGCCTTGTGGGTGCTGTGTGAGAGATGTCACCAGTACTCCAGCAAAGAAAGCAAGTTCCAAAGCTGCGTGCACCGCAGGCCCCCTGTATGAGCCAGGGTGAGGAGTATCTCCAGGCTTCCCATGTGAAGTGGGTGGTGAAAGGGAAGGAGTAGAAAGAAAAGACTTTCAATTTTCACCTTCCATGCTTCCATACTGTTTGAGTCCTATTTGCTGGAAGCACAATATTTACACAATAATAAAAAAACAAGGATTAGGAAGGCAGGTGTTCACCGTCAAATTTGACCACATACAAGTGGTAAAAACCTGTCACACAGCCCCAATTTGTTCTTGTAGGAAAATCAGATCAGAAGTTCTGGAAAAGTTCCAACTTGGGCCTGCAGCAGCATGTCTGGTGTCCACCTCCACACCCGCCGGGCTCCCTCTGAGATGCCTGTCAGCTAGGGCCCTGATCCACATCTGTGGTAGACCCCAACTCTGGGGCAGGTTTTGCCGCTGATTTGTCACATGTCATGAACCAGCCACAGCCTCCACGACCTCACTTGTCACATCTCACTGTGACACAGAGGACAAAGGACAACAGGGCACTCATCCTACCTATTCAGGATATAGGCAGACCAAACAAAGCAGGCAGGGAGCTGGGTGGCACCAACACATGGCTGCAAAGGCGTGTTGATTTCCACAGGGTCACCTCCCTTTCTACGGCTCCTGTTCAGAGCAGGGCCGTCCAACAGAAGTTATTATACTCTTAGAGATGTTCATCTGCACTGTCCCAAAGGGCAGCCACCAGCTATGTGTGACTACTGAGCACATGCAATGTGGCTAGTGCACCTGCTTCTCTTTTACTAACTTTTGATTGATTTGAATGTTAACTTAGATAGCCTAATGTGACCAGCAGCTCCTGCACAGGATAGCATGGCCTTAGACTCTGGCTTTCTGGTGTCTGTGGTTAAAACCTCATGCACTGGAGCCCTCCCCTGCCTGAGCCAAGGGCTCCTCAATTCTGGGAAGGAATTCCTTCCTGGCCTGCTCCCCACCAGTAATCCAGAACCCACTCCCTGAGCACCTCCCCACGGTCATTAGGCCACTCCCCACCCTGCCAAAACTACTCACATCTCCAGGCCCCGGAGTTTCTGGATCCCCAGGGCCAGCCACACCAGCCAGAGCTGTGCCCACAGTTCCCTAGAGTTGGGCACACATGACCCCTGAGAAGCTGAGGGTGGACAGACCCTGAGCAGGCAAAGAAAAGCTCACCCCAGGTGGCAGGAGTCAAGGGCAGGTAGCCAGGGCTGACCACACCCTTTTGAGCCAAGGGATGAACACAGGACATGAGGTATAACTGCATGAAAAGAACACAACCTGCCTCTCACTCAGAAACACAGTTTTGGACACAAAGGCTAACTTGAGTAAAATTAATCCTGGATCACTAAACTCTACGTACAAGATGTAATTGCAAGGGAAGCGTAAGCCCCATTCCCTAAGCCAGTGGGAGAGTCCCTGCATCCACAGATTGGTTCCTCACACCCTCAGCTCACGCAATGAAGAAGGCAGAGTGCTAGGAAGGCAGGGGCCTTCCTGCGAATGAGGAAAGGCTCCTGCAGTGGAGTAGGGCCTTGATGACAACAAACAACCCACAACCCACAAACAAAGCATATCATTGGCTCCTGAGCTCACAGTGGGTCTTCAGAGCAAGCCCTGAACTGCACATTTATATTTGGGAAAACCCAGAGCACCCTGAGGAGAGAAGCACACACCTCCTTCTTTACCCTCAGGCCCACAGTCCCCTAGACAGAGGTGCAAATGCATGAAGCCAGGCATTACAAAGACAGTCAGCCTCACCCTTCCTGTCCCCCCTAGCGGTGACTTCGGTATCCTTACTATACCCAAGCATGATCCTGGGACCAGGAGTATCAGCATCCCCTGAAAGCTGGTTAGAAATGCAGAGTCTCAGGCCCCACCCAGAACTACTGAGTCAGAGGGCATCATATGTATCTTAAAACTGGAGAAGCAACAGCACTATGGAAAATCCCTATTTCTGAAGACAGACTATTTCGTGATCTTCACGGAGTTGGGGATGGGAATGGCCTGCATCTACCATGGCGGGTGGCTATTGGGGTGGATGGGTGCTCGAAAATGGCTTTACACACCAGCCATAGGAACACAGGGCTGAAATTACTCAGTGCAAATTCAGGGAAAGGAAAAACTACGTACAAGAAAGAATTTTCCCCATGTTGTTCAGAAAGTGAGTTTCCCCACTCAGATACCCTGAATAAAGAATTCACCTTTCAGATGTCCTATCTGCCACACACATTACCCCGTGCAGCAGTGTTTTCACTGCGGTCCTGTCTTACGTTTCCACAAGGCTGGCTGTGTGGCCAAGCACCTTGGCCATTTTCTCACTACAACTTCCGAATGACATCAGGCCTTCCACCAACTTCACTGAGCTATATTAGTTCTGGCTGTCTTTTCTATTTCCTAGAGTTTGATTTCTTTTTAAATTAAATCTAATTCATGCAACCCTATATTTTTAGAGGGGTCTAGTCTAAGCAGGCTCTTCCTAATCTTGACCATGCTGCCCAAGATCACTGCCTGAATGTTTCTCCTCCCCAAGGAAATGATGCATCCTCCCCTCACTGCAGTTCTTAAGAGATGACCCTTTTATTCTGTGGCCTGTCTGTCCTTCAGCTAGCACCCTATTTGTAATAACAATAGCTTGGAAATATGTTCACACATCAGAGAGAACTGGCCTTCCAAAGGTTACTGAGAAATCTATCCAATATCCTTACCTAATTTTCCCTCCAGATGGGACTTTTATAATACACCCCTCAATAGAACTGTTGTGTAGGTTCACACAGGTCATCAAATTAGACCCACCTAACAAGGGTCTCTATCACCTGCAAATTAGGGCCATTTGATACCTTCCTAATAGTATCATTACATTTCTGTTTCATGCCTTATTTCAAATGTCTAAAGCCATGTGTGGTAATAATGGCTATAGGATACAGGAAGCTATTCTGGACATACCTGGTGTGGGAAAGCCAGAAAACAGGCCAGCTCTCAGTTACATCCATACCTTAAAGACAGAGCAGTGTGCCCCCTCCAGCCTGTGGGGAAGAGCTGAGGCTGAGTGTGTGAGGCCCCTGTGGGGCCAGTGGGCTGGACCTTGATGCTCAGCAAGAGCCTGAAGCCATGGGGCCCATTGCACTGAGCAAATGCCCCCTACCCTCCCCCACTAAAAGCTGGGGAAGGAGGAAACCTGAGAAAAGGTAATGTAGCTTCACAGAAGGGCAAGTGAGGGAACCCAGCTAAAACCTGAAGGTCCTGTGCTGCCTGGCATGGGTCCCAATCTTTTCAGACCCCTAAGATAGCTCATTAAGACAAATGCAATTATTTCCAAATCAACTAATGGCTAGTCAAAGACTTTAAAAGAAAAGAAAAAGAAAACGTAAGACTACTGAATTTAATGAATATGAAAGAGGAGCTCATTAGCCCAATTTCTATAGTAATATGAACTAAAAAAGAAAAGGAAATTAATGTTCTATATTTTATACACACACACACACATATATATGTATATATATATATGTACATACACACACACATACATATCAAATATTCCTTTAAATAACTGGGGTAGAGGTTGGGGAAGAGGGGAAATGCTGGGTGGGTGTGGGGCAGGTACCATTGCTCCTCAAAAACATCCTACCCTTATTCACTCAACAAACATACTGAAACAAAGCTACCCTAAAGTTATCAGGTAAGGTAAGAACAGAATAGACTGACAGAATGCAGTCAGATGTTTAAGAATTATTTGCCAAGACACAGAAGTGTTCTGGATTGTGTGGTAGACAAATTCCTAATTCTTCCTCTCTCCTTGTACTATCACCCTTCTCCCATGTCACCTTGCAGTCTCTCCCAATGGAGTCAGTGGACTTTCCACTCCTTGATGCCGGCTCAGTCACATGACTTGCTCTGGCCAACAGGATGGTGGTTTGAAACATGCCCTTTATAGTTCTGCCATAACCATGAAAAGGGTCTCTGCCCTGAGTCAATGAAGCCTCAGCCTGGGCCCCAGAATGAACACATGTGGAAGAGACCTATGCTTGACATGCAGAAAGGAGCCAAACCCAGTTAAACTGCAGCATGAAGCAGAGCCACTCAGCTGAGACCACCCAGACCCATCAACCATCAGCCATAAGCAAGAATAAACGACTGCTGGTGTAAGCCACCAAATTCTGGAATGTCTGTTATGCAGCCTTGTTATGGCACTAACTGACTGATACAGGTGACTCCCTAAAAGGGAATCCATAAACCATTTAAAGATAGCTTTTCCCTCCAAGTTTATAAAAAAGTCAAAGTTACTTACCAGGCTCACCTTTCTTCTTTGAACCAGACTTCTTCTTGGCACGAGCCTCTTGTTTTGGTGCCTCCTGGCTCTGGACCACATCTGCATTTCTGCCTTGGATGGGAGCTGACTCTGCTTTCTTACCCTGATTGGCAGATGCCTCCACCTTTTTGCCCTGGTTGAGGGACCCTTCTGGCTTTTTGCCCTGGTTTGGGGTTCCCTCTCCCTTTTTGCCTTGATCAGAGGACCCGTCTGCTTTTTTCCCCTGGTTTGCAAAACCCTCTGCCCTTGTGCCTTGATTAGCAACCGAATCTGCCTTTCTGCCCTGGTTGGATGTCCCCTCCACCTTTTTGCCCTGGTTGGGGGTCCCCTCTGTCTTTTTGCCCTGGTTCTGGGCCCCTTCTGCCTTCTTGCCCTGGTTCTGGGCCCCCTCCACTTTTTTGCCCTGGTTGGGGGTCCCCTCCACCTTTTTGCCCTGGTTCTGGGCCCCCTCTGCCTTCTTGCCCTGGTTCTGGGCCCCCTCCGCCTTCTTGCCCTGGTTCTGGGCCTCTGCCTTCTTGCCCTGGTTCTGGGCCCCCTCTGCCTTCTTGCCTTGGTTCTGGGTACCCTCTGCCTTTCTGCCCTGGTTGGGGGTTGCCTCCACCTTTTTATTCTGGTTCAAGACCACTTCTACCCTTTTGCTCTGATTCTGCACCCCCTCTGCCTTTTTGCCCTGGCTTGGGGTCCCCTCCTCTTTTTTGCCCTGGTTGTGGGCCCCTTCTGCTTTTTTGCCTTGATTCTGCACCCCTTCCCCCTTTCTGCCCTGATTCTGGGCTCCCTCCACTTTTTTGCCCTGATTCTGGGACACCTCCGCCTTTCTGCCCTGGTTGGGGACCCCCTCCACCTTTTTGCCCTGATTCTGGGCCCCCTCCGCCTTTTTGCCCTGATTAGGAGCCCCCTCCGCCTTTTTGCCCTGGTTGGGGGCCCCCTCTGCCTTTTTGCCCTGATTCTGGACCCCCTCAGCTTTTTTGCCCTGATTCTGGGCCCCCTCTCCCTTTTTGCCCTGATTCTGAGCCCCTTCTCCCTTTTTGCCCTGATTCTGGGCCCCCTCCACCTTTTTGCCCTGATTGGGGGTACCCTCTGCCTTTTTGCCCTGGTTCTGGGCTCCCTCTGCCTTTTTGCCCTGGTTGGGGGCCCCCTCTGCCTTTTTGCCCTGGTTCTGGGCTCCCTCTGCCTTTTTGCCCTGATTGGGGACCCCCTCTCCCTTTTTGCCCTGGTTCTGGGTACCCTCTGCCTTTTTGCCCTGGTTGGGGGTGCCCTCTGCCTTTCTGCCCTGGTTGGGGGCCCCCTCTGCCTTTTTGCCCTGGTTCTGGGCTCCCTCTGCCTTTTTGCCCTGATTGGGGACCCCCTCTCCCTTTCTGCCCTGATTGGGGACCCCCTCTGCCTTTTTGCCCTGGTTGGGGGCACCCTCTGCCTTTTTGCCCTGGTTGGGGGCACCCTCTGCCTTTTTGCCCTGGTTCTGGGCTCCCTCTGCCTTTCTGCCCTGTGCAGCACCAGTGGCTAAGGTACTGGCCTTGGCACCCACTGGGGGTACAACCACCATAGGCACCTCTTTGGGAGCAGTTTCCAAGATTGCAGCCTTTGAGGCAAGAACCTGGATGGAATTCACTATAGAACTGACTGCTGGCTCCACTTTTGCCACTTTTTTCTCCTTCTTCTTTTTGTCCTTAGGCGAGGAAGCTGGCTTCTCTTGAGGCATGGCTGGCACCGTGGCTACAGGGGCAATGACCACAGCAGGCTGGACCAGGGTTGGAGCCACAGCCACTGCAGGTGCCCGCACTGGGTCTTTGAGGAGGATGGTGACGTTGGGGGCTGGCTCATGGTCAGGTATCTTCCCATTGGGTTTCTCTTCCTTTTTCTTTGTTTTCCCTTTCTTCTCCACTGTTTTCTCCTTCTTTTTCTTCTCCACTTTGTGGTGGTGAGTTTTCGCCATCTCCTTACGCTGGTTTGCTAGGGCTTCCTCATAGGACGTCTCCTTCATGGAGAAGGTCGAGACCAGGAAGATGCCAATGGCAGAAACAACCATGAATCCACCAAAGACCACAACCCCCAAGGTTTGAGTGTCGTAAATATCCATCCTGGCTTGCTTCTTTCACCTGCCAAATACATACAAGTAGATTACTTTTTGCGGAAACTGAAGCACTGATAGTTCCTATGCCCAGCCCCATCACCAAACTTGGGGTTTCATTAATTCTTCAGATTGATAAAACCAAAGGAGAAAGAAAATCCAGGCAATCTCTGATGTCATACATTCTTACCCATCCCACTTTAGAAGTGAACAATTTTTATGCAAGACATGAACAAGGTGTAAAAACTGGTGCCAGAAGATACAAAGCAACAGAGATGGCAGAGTGCAGTTATAACTGAAAGACTCAGCAGCCATAACCACAATTCTGAATGTTCACCAGCATTGGGGTCAAAGATCACATGAGCACAAGCACAGGCCAGGTGTAAGACAATGAGGAGAGGTAAGTGAGGACTATAGCAAAAATGGCCCAGTAAACTTGGGAGCAAGTGTCCCCAGCCACAGCTGATTATTGCAGAAATGTGAGCAACTATGCTAGGAGAGCTTCTGCTTTTCACATGAAGCCAGAAGTCCTTTTTTCTTAATGTGAATTTGAGTGATTAAAAAAAAAAACAATGGTGAACTAACCTGAACACTTCTGCAGGCTTTCAGCCACTTGCCTTCAGGCCAGCAGAACCCTGTGAGCCGACCCTACTCTGCTGCTTCCCTTCCCCCCAGTGCAGGTAAACACAACTAGTCAGAGACAGAGAAGAAAACCTCTGCACTGCAATCTGGAGAAGTGATCGAGAATCTGGTGAGGAGAAACAACCTTGTGCAGTGATAGCTCCTTTAGAGTTCTGGATCCTCAATGTGCACATTAGAAACAGGAAGTACCAAGTTTTGGAAGGCCACCAAATAAAAGACTCCAGCTTTGGAATTTCACATCTGGAGACAAGGTGGGAGGGAGGACAGTGTTACCCCCTAAGCAGGCCCACTCCTTGCCCTGGGGAGGGCGCCCTTTGCCTGAGGACACTCCAACCAAGAGGATGAACCAGCCCTCTCGCTGCCCAGGGACCAAGTCCAAAGGGCCCTAAGCAGCCAGACCCACACCTCCCTGGCTGCCAGCACAGGCTAGCTCTGACTTCAGTGGACAGCTCCACCAGGTTTATTTGGATGTGTCCAATTTCTATCAACTAATTTTCATGCTATTATCACATTCTCCCTCCCTGGACAGTGAGAAACAGGGCCTAGCCCCCACCCCCCAATCCCAACAAGAATCAGTGAACAGAATAGAATGCAAGTGTGAAAAGGTGGGTAAGGGAAGGTGCAAAGTCAGAGAAGGGAGCAGGGGAGAGACCCCTCTCCCCTCACCAGCATGACCCCACGAAATCTCTAGATGCTGTGATAGAGGCTTGTCAGTAGCTTAAGAGTTGAGATTCCTCTTTCCTTGGAAGTGGGGGAGGGAAACAGTGGGAATTTCTGAACAACAATCATGAAATTCAAATTTTGACTTTAGGGCATTTTAAAGAAGGACCTGAAAAGGATTGTTTTAAATGTCTAAGCATTATGTTCTAAGAAAAATCACTTACCGCAGAACAGTTTCACTGAGCCTTTCTAATAAAACCCTCGCAGCAAGAAGGTGTGGTGCACTCAGGATAAAAACTTCACAGCATACCCTTTCCATGGGGGCAACTCCACAGGCTGCAGCTGTGACACGCCTCCTCCCGACCAACACAGTCTGCAAGGACCAAGCCAAATCCTTCTGTATATGAAGTCTCAGGCAGGCTCATGGAGCTTTCAAATCCCGGACAAGTGGATTCTGACCTCTGGTCATGGGTTCTGACAGCATGACCCACAGCCAGGCCACCCTCTTATATAACAGTCAAGAGAGGCTGTCCCTGTTTAGCCTTTCCAGGAACACACTCCGAGGCAAGGTACTGAAAAGGAACCAGTGCCCTGCTCAGTCCTGGAGAGATCCAGTTGGCAGGGAGGGAGGGCTGGCAGGGACAAGAAGGCTTACAAGGGTCTGTGGTCAACTTCCACTGCTTGGTGCATATCCACCAACTAAAACTCCCGGTTTTCACAAGGACCTTTCAGAACTTTGACAGCATGGGCACATTCAGGTACAAAAACTACATCATAATCACTACTCAGTCTATTCAGATGACAAAAATCCTCAGAACACTCCCCTTCTCCTGGGTTACCCCGGCTGAGGGTTGCCAGGCTGAGGCAGTCACCAGGCTCCTACAAAGTGGGCTCTATTCCCCACTGAGCACTGTAAGATCTGTGCAGCTTGGTGTGGGCAGAAAAGCCAAGGCTGAAAATTAGCTTTGAATCATACTCAAGTTAAGCAAATATGTGACATGAAAATGTATTCTCTGTTGGGAGCACAGATTCCAGAAAAGCTAGTTTGAGAGACTATTTTTCCTCTGAAGCGCACACAATTGTATGTTTAATAGCAGCATAAATGTGTCTTCCCAACTTCTGCAGATGGAGATGCTCTAAAAAGAAATTACATCCCCACTATTAAACTACTGCTTTAGAATTTCTTTAACAGAAACCTTTCACAGGAAAAAATGAAAAGTCCTTGTCTTAAGAATACACTGAAACATTTAAGGCTAAGGCCATATCACCACGACAACAAAGAAATCTAAGGAAAAACCAGCCTTCCTACTGCTCTGCTGTCAGCTTGGGTGGGACAGAACACCACGGGGAGATCCCAGACTCATAGGAATGATCAAGCCACTGATGCCTCCCAAACATGCTCCCAAGATCGGTGTTCTGGATGCCTTGCTTCTGAATTCCCACCATCATAAAAGGACCCCCACCAGGAATCTCCCCAGGATTTTCCCACAGGGCTGTGGGACCAGACGTGTGCCCACCATACCCCGTATGGCTGACCACAGAGAACTTATATTCTGGAAGGAAGCAGGAGGCCACCCAAAGGCTCGGGTACCACTCTCAGGCTCCGTGGGCTGAAACTCACTGGCCCACCTCAAAGGTCCTGAGAGAATGGCTCTTCTTTTATTCCCAGGAATGATTTGGGGAACAAAAGTAGTGGAAGCCCCAAATTCTTTAGACATGAAATACATCTGCTAACTCATGTGGCTCAACCAGTCCATCCAGTTGAGTCCAATTTGCCAACTGGGATTTGAGTAGATTTTGCAAAAAGACCCTCAATAGTGCCCCTGGGACTGGGTCTCATCACTGATCAGCTGCTCTGCCATGGACCATGTGTGGGTACTTGGAGAAACTGTGGGGGAAGGGGGTACTGGGGGCTGCGGTGTCAAAAGAAAGTCTCAGTCCATTTCCTGGGCACAAGGTGACCTACCAGGAAGGTTAGGAAACTAAAAGAGAACGACAACGAAACAGAGACTCTAGCAGATACAGCTGCCTCAGGACCACTGTCTCCTGATTTTTAAAAATATGAAATATACAAAAGATTAAGAAAAAAATATTGTGACCATCCATTTACCTACCACCAAGTTTATTGAATCCAAACATTTTACCACTTTTACTTCACATATTACATTGTCTCCACAAACAGAATGCAGTACACTGCTCTGAGTGCTGGTGACTGCTGCATAAATGACACTACTGCAGGACATTATTGGGAAAAAATTTTTAATTAAATTTCATTTTTGAGACTTATTTGTATAAATACACATAGTTTTAGCTCATTTTAACTTCTGTATTTTCACACAAACCTGTAGTGTGACCTGCCTCCCAGGTTCCTTGGGTCCGTGTGTAGATTTCTCCACCACGTTCCTGCTGGGTCAGAGGGTGGGCATGACTACAACACCACGCACTGCCAAACTGTTCCCCGAAGGGGCAGTGCCATGAAAGCCCTCCTCCATATACAGCTTGGCCAACATTTCCCACTGTGCTCAAAATTGAGACATGGTGCCCATCAAACAGATGTGACATTGGATTGTCCACATTTACTGGTCCTTCAGGTTCCTTTACTGCTTTACCTGTTCATATTCTTTGCCTATTTTCCTACTGGATTGTTTTTTTTTTCCTCCGACTTATTTATAGGCATTCTTTATGTATTTTGGATATTAACCATTTGTTGTTTTATATGTATTGAAGTCTGTGGTTTCTCTTTCAACCAATTTAGTGTTTTTGATACCAACTTATACAATTAATGTACAACATACTAATATTTGCCTTTGTCTTTCTTGATCCCCAGCTACTACCCCAGATTCATAAAAAGGTTCCCCATTTTTTTTAAAGTAAAAATGTCACTATCCTTTAAATTTAAATAATTATTCACTTATGTTAGAAAGAGTCAATACATCCCTATGGGTCAAAACTCAAAGGAAGCAATGGTTTGTAGAGTGAAAAATCTCCATGACAGCAGGGACGCCAGCTACCCAGGTTCCAACCACTGGGAGAGGAGGTAACGATTGTAATAGAAGTCGCTCTACTGTTAAGAAACTATTTACCTCTAAAAGCCTCAGTAATGCTTTTGGGTACTAGTTTTTTAGTCACCTGGGGCAGGAAATAGATATAAAACTTCTCCCCACCAGTTTAATTACCCAGCACCATTTCTGGACTGGGCTATCTGCTCCCCCTACCCCCACCCCAACACTGGCTTCCACAGCCACTTCTGTGCCATCAAGTCTGAAATATGTATGCATCTGTGACTGGACTCCACATTTTCTTCCACAGGTATATTTATCTATGCCCTGCATCAATAACACCACATTTTTGGCCTATGCATCCCCTCCAAATATTATACTGGAATTTTTATTAGAATCACACTGTATTTACAGATGAACCAAGGGAGACCTGACATTATACACTACGGGAGTTTCCCATAAATGGATACAGTGTGGTGCAGCAGCTATATTTATTTACATGTTGTTTTTTACTTGTGGATGGCTTTTTATGATCTTCTCTATAAAGGTCTTAACCTCTTTTTTGTTAAGATTATTGCTATTTTTAAATGTACTGGAAAAAGATACCTTTTGTAAATTACTTTCTATTTCTAGCTATAGACAACCAGCAAAGTTATTCATTTTTGTGTACATGTCATTTACCCAGCTATTACACTAAACTCCTGTCAGATCCAGTTTGTAGAGTCTC